ACCTTCTGTCTTATCTGGTGCTACCGGGACACCTAATTCCTTAAATAGGGTGAGTGCATGTTGCAGACTGCGTGGTGTGTAGTGGTGAGGCTCAACATAAAGAAAATCACAGAGGTAGTGGATTACTACTGGGCACCTGGATTTGTTAAGTAGTAGCCAATTCAAGGTTTCTGCAAATATATAGAAAATTTTTGGGCTGCTTTTGGAACCGAAGGTCAGCCTAGTCGCATAATAGTATTTCTCTTCCCAATTAACGCCATGTAGATGCCAGAGTGACTGCTTAATTGGTAGAAGTTTGAAAGCATTTGTGTTATCTGTTTTGCTTAACCAGGCTGCCTTACCAAAGTTGACAACGGCTTGTATGGCATCGTCTATTTTAGCATATTGTAGTGAGAAGTCTTCTGAAGGTATAAGGGAATTTAAACTTGGGGACGTGGAAGAGTGAGGTGCTGAGAGATTGATTATTAACCTCTTTTTGTTATTAAATTTGCCCGTGGCTATACCTAGTGGGCTTGTTCTCCAAGAAGTGAATGGTGGTGTGGTGAAGGGTCCTATCATAAAACCGTACTCTACTTCTTTGTTGAGAAGTTCTTTTAGACTAGCTGGATCTGTTATCGCAGACTGTAGGTTGGGGCATTCCAGTGTGCCTGAAAGGAGTACTACTAAACCTGTGTGAAAGCCTCTAGTGAAACCAGCTCTAAAACAGATTGAGCAAATGTGGAGCAGTCTACACACGCTATAACTACACCCCCCCGCATTGAAGTTATTACAAACGTGTGCTTTCCCAAGAAACACTATAGGCCTCCCTAATTTGTCTTTCACTTCCCTCTGACTTGTGTTAGTAAGATAGTCTAGATTGGCGTTACTAGTAGACGGACCGTCTATATAACTAGGACAAAAATTTGCTGTATGAGAAGCTGAAGAACATATTGCCCATGCTGGTGTTTTAAGCTCTGCAAAATGTCTACAGAACAATTCTGTGTCCAACTGACTCAAGTCAGTAGGAGTGTTGTACTGTGCCAGTGACGTGGCTGATCTGGCCAAAAAGGACTTATGGTAGTCGTAGAACGCGTAACCGCCATAATTGTAAGTTAGTTCCACCAGCTTGTGCAGATATAGATCCAGCTCTTCTCTACGGTGTGGGAAGGAAGAGCAAATTACATCCCTATATAAACCAAAAGCTAACACAAATTCATGAATATTCAGCTTCTTGTTAAGCCTAGGATCTCTAGATTTCATTACCACGGATATATCGTCGAAAGTGTAAGACCTGTTTTCAATTATATCCTGTGAGGCAATGAGGAGGGAAGCTAGATTAACATATTTTCCTTGTAGTATGTCACGTTTTAGATTTTGTGGAATCAAATGTACTGGGTTAATAATATTAGTTCTTTTGGCAGGAATAGGAGTGGAGTTACCTCCTGAGCTTGTTTCGGGTTGTCCTACTGGAATTTGTACTTCCAGAATGCTAGTTTGACTAGTGGCTTCCAGGTTATCTAACCTGTTGTTTATAGTAGCTACAGAAGCTACCAGAAAGGTCATCATACTCCGTAGTTCTGCCAAACTGTTTTGTAGTGCATTCAGAACTAGGGCCAGGTGTTTCATCAACGTTTTGGGTGTTTAGTAAACGGAAATGTTCAGCTTTCCTGGCTGTAGCTGGAAAGGGAATGTTTCTTCTATTCAGTTCGGCTGTGATTTTTGGAATAGTCCAGGATCTGTAGCTGGATGCCGTACTGGACTGTCTTGGCTGAGCGCTAGACCTGGATGGGGTGCTGGCAAGCGATAGTTCATCGTCTCGCACTGTAGTGTTAGACATGCCATGGGCGTGAGAGGAAATGTTTCAGGTTAGGAGAAAAATAGAAAAAAAAATTGTGTTTGTGTGTGCGTGCTGGCTGACTAGCTAGTGCTGCTCCGTGGCGAAGCAATTACACTAGGTTGGTGACTGGTGAGGCCCTGCTAGGTGCCAAGTGCCTTGAGAGTCTACCTATGAGTTGGCGCAAGGGGATTTCGTGGCCACCGAACGTTGTGGCGGGGTGTTGGCCTCTCGGTGACTAGTAAGCATAAGATAGAATGGGGGTTACAGGTGAAGCCCTCTCTATACCACATGCAAGGCGGCTAACTATGATTTGGCCCGAAGGGCGTAGTACCTTCTGAATTGAGGATGGGTGTTGGCCTCGCGGCACCGATAACTTAAGGCAAGGAAGCCGGGAGGAGATTACCGCTATTGGGCTCCTAAGACCCTGACAGCCAGCCACCTAAACTGGAAGGGACGATAAATGCGAGACTGAACGTAAATAAAATAAATACATTTTTTTTAAATGCTCGCAATCCTTACCTGTATGTGAACTTGAAACACGTACTTGAAATGCCCTAAGGAGTTATTTGTGAAGTTCTGTTTGGCAGGGTGATTTTACCCAAGCTGAAGCCCCAATTTGCGGAGAATGGAAGAAGGAGGAAGGGAGAGAGAAAGAAGAGAAAAGAAATCGGTAGCAGATTATTACTCAAGGCTGGTCCGTGTTTAAAATAAGATCGACTAAGCTATTATAATTCAGTTTATTACAAGAAACTATTTAACTAAAATGTTTGTGACTAAACTGTGCCTATATTAAGGCGACTGGCTGACTCGGCACTTGGTCTGAATATTTATGATTATTCTGCTGTTGCGTAATTAAATGGTATATTAGCCTATGAAATTAGAGGGGAGGAGTGAAGAAAGTTTTTTTGTTTTTTTTTACGAAAGGGATATTACTAACCAGACCATAAACGTGTAATTCTGCTTAATGGGTAGTAATGTATGCCGAAAGTTTTTCCCTAGAAAGGAAAGTAATTTCGAAAGTAAACCCCAAGAGCTAAAATTTAGATACAAATTAACACACTTTGCAATTTTTTTATATTTTTCGTTTCCCGAACAATGGATTTGAGACGAATTGATTGGTCAGTATCTTTGCACGAATTTGTTATATAGCCGAATGATTTAAACGCACGAAAGGTTTGTTTAAACATAAGAGCCTGTGGAAGTTTGTTCGTATAGACTTACAGTTAAGGTTGAAATTGCTGAATGGATTCCGTTCGTGTGATTATACTCACGAAACTTAGTGTGCGAATTCCTGACAGTAATTTTTTCGTGCATCGCGGCAAAATGATGTCAGAGGTCCGTGTGAACCGGAAGCGAAGACGGGAATTTCCGAAATCGACGATGACAGGTAAGCAAGGGGTTTACTGGGGTTATTTGGGCCTTAAATCCCTCCCACAACTTCAGGCATACAATAGATATATATTATATATATATATATATATATATATATATATATATATATATATATATATAAACAAGATACCAGAGTTCTGCAGTATACAATGAAACCTTTTTAATGGACTTACAAAAATATTTCAAAGACAAGCTTTCGAGAGTTTTCCTCTCTTCCTCAGGTCTGAAGCAATACTGATCAATCTGATAGAGTTTAACACGTAAATAAAAAAGGTATCATTGGATACTGCAATACTCTGGTATTTTGGCATTTTGTATAGTGGACAAATACGGCTAATCCAATCTACACTATATATATATGGAAAAAAAATGAGCTAAAAATCATTCAAACCCCTGGCTGCATGGTCTGGAGTCTGTGTATCCAGAACCCATCTCTCTTCCTTAATTCTATCAAAAGGTTCTCTCCTCTATCATCAGTTTGAACTTTCTCTATAACAATAAAAGAGTTACAGAATCGAGTCTATATTGTTTCTTAATATTGTTGAGGTGCTCCAAAATTCCTAATATTGTTGAGGTGCTCCAAAATTCTAACTTTGGCTTTTCTAACTGTCCTTCCCATATATTGTGACCCACAGCCACATGTCAATAGATACATAACATGTGTGGAGTCACAGGAAGAAGAGCCAACAACATTCAAAGTTTCTCCAGTTTGCGTACTCATACCTTTAGAAATGTCTACACCCTTTATGATCACAAGTATAAAAACCAAGTCTGTCTTCCATTACAACTTCTTCTCTCCTAAAAGTGCTAGGGGCTAATACATGTTTAAAATGAATTCCTTTATTAAAAATAATTTGGGGTACAATAGGCAATTCTTGTTTTAAAATTCGTCTTCCAGCAGTTTTTTAATAGTATGTTGGACCTCAAATGCTCTAGAATGATATTTTGTGTTAAAAGCAAATCCATATTTGTTAAAATTAGGTTGTGTCCTTTTGTCTAACAATAACTCTCCTCTCGCTATGTCCCCATCTCTCTGCGTTTAAAAATTGGTCATCATACCCTTTATCTGAAAATTTCTGTCTTAAAATATTCGCTTGTTTAAAATATTGTTCCTTGTCTGAACAATTCCTATAAAGTCTAATAAACAGACTTTTGGGGACAGCGGATAACCATTTAGGGTGGTGACAGCTCTTAATATCTATGAAGCAGTTTGAGTGGGTTTAAAGAAAATAAAAGTTTGATCTCTGAATTTTCAATAAATATAGAAAACGTTATTCTCACTCTTATCAATATAGGGGGATAATTTCAGAGACAATTGATTGTCATTAATGTAGAGGATAAATTCATTTTTTATTTTATATATTTGCAGTGCATATGCAAAGACGTCATTACAGTTTTAAGCTGAGGAAACCACGGTTTTCTGTCTCACTGCACTGTGTGGATGGTGTAAGTCGGGCCTAGTCTAGCTGCCCCAGGACGGGTGTGTTAATGGGTGGGTCAAGTGTGGTATGTTTAGTAGATCTGGTATGTGTCAGTGCCAGGTATGTGTCTTGTGTGTGTGTTCGCTCTATGCAGCGGCTTATCGGCTAAATGTGAGCTCACAAGTTGACTAAGTGCCAGTTCATCCGCTTGTAGCCGGGCGGTTATGCTAAACATATGGGCATACATACAAATTAAGTCACTGATCGCACGACCCGTGGGTAAAGTTGCATGTACAGGCTGGCCTGCCAAAATCAGGAGGACAGTTCACCTTGTGAGCGACCTTGCTGGCTGAGTGCTTTGGTGCAAAGTTTCAGATTAGCCGATGCCCCGGCTTGGTATCAGGCTTGAGAGGTGGCATGAGAGCAAGAGGCAGAGTCCGAGCCAGACCTCCCCATAGCCCCAGACCGTCACTAAAGGCCTGCATCTCTGGGCCATGATTCAGGTTGCTCCTGTGGGAGGCCGGGTTCTTCCCATGTATGGGACAGCGTTGGATCCAGGTGAGTATACGCTGCCTGGGGTGTCGGATCCTCTGCGTCAGTGGCCGAAGCTCAGGGAATTCATGCCGTGTGGTCTTCAGCCCGGGTAGGCACGTCGTGTAAGGTCGTAGCAGTGCTTTGGAAGGAGTGCCCAGGGGGGACCCGCTCCTCTTCCGCCCCTCATCTCTCTGTTTATACGTTGCTCCCGGTGTTTCAGGCTTCTTGGGGTAGTCAGGCAGTTTGTCCCAGACGTTGATGTTTGTCTCGCCTGCATGTTGGAATGCAAGCGCACCTGTGCACTGCTTGGTCTCCACATAGTGTTGTGCATGAGGTCTTGGATTGTCAGCCATTTTGGATGCAATGCCCTATTCGTGGCTGCAGCAGGACTGGTGTTTGAGTGCAGCTGTAAGCAGTGGTGGTCGTCCGTGGGGACCGGGATAACCCCCAGTGGTCCAGAGGGGGGGGGGGGACAGCAAGACACTGGTCGGAGAACTGGAAGAGCGGCCGTCTCTCTCCAGCTCAGGCTCAGGTAGGCCTCAGGCCTCATTCAGGGTACTTCTCATTTTAAGTTGTCGAGTAAGGCATCCCCGAGTTCACCGTCAGCTTATGGGTATCTGGGTCGCCGATTTGTGTCAGTGTTAGCTTGTGGCACGAAGTTATCTTCTGTTTTCTGGCTCAGATGCAGGAGCCCAGATGAAGCACGTCTGATCCGATCAGCGGTCAGGCTCCGTCCCCATGTTTTCTATTTTAAGATTTTTTTTTTTTTTTTACATTTTACAGAATAATTTACATTATATAGAAGTCTGCCCAGAACCTATAATGCTAAATTAATTATTTAACCCTCCTGCTGGCATGTACATGTATACACGTGTAAATTAATTTGCATTGCATTCTCAAGATGCAGCAATGCCTAAACACTAAAGCACTCACAGGGCAAGTAGATGCCCAAGTACCATGGAACTCTGACGTCACCCACTCTCGGAAAAGCTCTGGAGGTAAATGTGGTGTATTCAGCCAGAGATGGCTTAAGATCCCTGGGGCCCTAGGTGACTATTTTGTTGCCTTATGGTTAATCCAGCTATGTTTACCTCATTCCAGTAAGAGCATCAATGGTGTTCAGTGTGTGGTGGGGGGAAACGGGTGGGGGGGGGGGACAGAATGATGTACTACCACATTCAGAAAAGTGACAGTTGTTCTTTAAAGGCATAATCCAAGTGCCAAATCCTATCTTTATCTTTCATCTATGTTCCTTGCATAGGTTATGGTGTAAAGAGCACTGTGGCCCTGACTCCCTTCAATCATTTCTGCACTCACCAACCCATATGTAGCATCTCCAAAAAAACTGTACTTATCCCTGCCTATAAGTGGTTGTATGACATATGCAAGTCCAAAATAATTTGTGTGGGCTCCATCATTGCTTTTTGTTTGAGCGCTTATACTTCAGACATGTACATTCTCTGCTGTAACTAGTTTCATTTATAACAAAAAATAAACTACATAACCCCCAGACGTTTTATGGAATATGTAGCAAATTCACTGCACACATTGTAGATTTGCTTTTAGAGGAGGATTGGCATTTTTAGGGATATATCTACATTAATGTAAATACAGATTTATTATCACTATAGACTTTGTGTTTCCATAGACCTCTGCTTGACTAAGCACTATTTTATTTTTATTTTTGCTTGTAACTTTGATTTGTCTATTATGCTGCTTCACATGATTCCTATTATTCCTGCTTTTCCTGATTTGGGGTTCATTTTGACTGTTCTCCTTGAACTGGGGATTGTTAGCGGATATTATATCTTATCTGTGTCCTTTCGCTCAACTTGAGGTGAAATAAAGCGGTTGTATTCATGTCAAATCAATGGTAGATTACAAGATCCCCGGACATGGCAAACCGCCTGGGCCCCAGTGTAAAGTTATCTGTAGCTCTCTGTTCTTCATAGAGTCCTATTCATTAATTTTGATGCAGAGCAAAGATCTGTATGTAATATATTCCTCCTCACCTTGTGGTATTTACGCCCAGCGGCCGTGCGTCTGTATAACGGACCCTTGCAACATGTTGATGGACACCGGCCGCTGAGGATCCACGCCAAATTATACCCCCCATCCACCCACGTTAATGATGAAGTCAGCGTGTGCGTGACGTCACGCAGGAGATGTGCGTGCACATTTTGGGATCAAAGGCAGTTTTCGGCCAGTAAGAACGGTAAAGCACTTATTTAAGCTCAAATTTACTTTTCCTCATTGCCCTGTCGTGGTTTCCCTAGTGGTTGTCCGAGAGTGTGTTCCAGAGCGTTTATTTCTGGTATTTGACTTTGGCTTTGTTTGACTTCCCTGTATTCTTGTATCCCTGACTTCTGGCTTTCCCTTATTGTTGTGTCTCATTCTGTACCCCCTGACCTCGGCAAGTATCCTGACTATTCTTTGGTGCGTTAAGTCTGGCCATTCTGAGACCCGGCAATACGTTACCTTTTAGTCCTAGGTGTGATACAATTCTATGTGCTGGATCAATTAGTAATACATTTTGTAATAAATTTTGACGCAGAACATTGCTTCCCTGCGTTTTTCTCTAATAGGACGTTTCAGAGTCAATTTTCGGATGTAACCTGCCCTATGTCATTCCAGCATCAAAACATGCTCTGGGCACACAGGTATGACACAGACCTGACTGTTGACCCAGAGCTTTATAAGCCTTCTTAGAGCTCTGTTTCATTGCCCTATTGTGGTCTCTTTATGATTCCCAAAAGCATATTCTTTGTTCATTGTATTCTCTGGTATACCAGCTTGGCATGTATGTCCTGGTCTCTGTATGCCTAGACCTGGCATGGAATTATGTTCATGTGTATTAATGGATCCCCCTTACCTTGGCACATTTCTTGACTCTGCTATTTTTGCCTAGTATACGCTCTCTGTTAAAGTTCGGTAATCTGAATCTGTCCCTTTTATGCTATTAGCATATCATAGGTTCATGTTCTGCGTGTTGTGTCATGCCCTTTACCTTGACACCCAGCCGTCCCAACTATGAACCAATAAGAGGCTTAGCACAGAGGACAATTCATTTCATTCGACCTCTGGAAAATCTCTGACTATTTTTCTGACTATAAAGATTATCCTTTGTTGTGTTATTTTGTTAAATTTACTTAAACTAACTGCCTATGGAATAAAGTTTGTCATTTTTCAGACAATCCTTAGAATTTATACAATTCTTAAGCCAATATTATTCTTAGTAAACTTGATAGCGTTTTTCCACTACAAGTCTCAGAACTATCAGAATTTATAATCTTTGTTAGGTTAAAGATTATACAATGGAAATCAGGAGTTGGCTCTCTTATATTCATGAACCAGTCCTCAGCTTTCTAGATCCTGTCTTGCCACTTTTCAGAAATCTGAAGCACTTCGGCACTTCCGAAACCCTAACCCTCCCTCTCACCCTAGTAGGGGTAGGGTAAGGGATGGGGTTAGGGGTAGAGTTAGGGTTAGGGAATTGGCGAAGTCCCGAAGTGCCGAATTGCCAAAGTCCCAAATTTCGGGAATGCTAAACCGAATTTTGCGCATGCACATCCATAATCTCTACAGATGGTTGGAAGACAGGCTTGGTGAAAACAATCCTTATTGTCTACTACTCCCACGGACATTCCACTAAGCTTCATTCCAACATTCCTTCCACTCCAGTGTCAGGGACCATGTCCTCAGATCCTTTAACATGTCTACTTAAAGGGTCGGGAAAGAAGTTACATATTTTACTGAATATCATGAAAAAAGGAGAAAAACTGTTTTACCTTGACAAAGAATCCCACGAGTAAGAACATATTTTTTTCTCTCCCTATGCTAATCTAAACATCCTAAATTACCAGGATGCAGTATCAAATACACATAGGTCAGAAACGCTTAGTTTCCCCCTTATTGGACCGGTAAATAAGTACAGATTTCTTGTCTTTAAATATAATGATTTCACCTTTGTTCTCTGTTCACTTTGATCTTCCGGATTCAAATGTTGAGAACTGTATCAGAGCTAAAGGAAGAAGAATTAAACTATGTGCAGTATTGAAATGAAACATCTTCGTCTCCTCTTGTTTTGTTGATGTCATACTAAGAGGTATTGCCATCAGAATATATTATTTATTGTTGTCTACCGAGCACCAACATATTCGACAGCGCTGTACAACAACATACTGCCCTAATGAATTTATTTTCGGTGCAGAGATCCTTGAACTTGAATTTAAAATGCTACAGGATTAACAGGATGAAAACTAAGGAAAATAGTCATCTGCCCACTCATTTTGTAGGCCAGGAGCATGGTTATCTCTGTAGAAACCAAAGACAGAATAATCAGACTTGCATTAATTAAATAACAGTACAGATATATAAGATAGATAGACAAACAGATAGATAGATAGACAGATAGATATAACCAACAAACCAATGGTAAACGCTAATTAAACATTTTTACGCTTTTTTCCACCCAGTATTTGCTTGAAGGAGTACATTTCTAAATAACAAATATGTGTGGGATAAAGCTAACCGCTGACTGTAGTGAGACATTTTTGGATCTAAATATATCTGTCAGAGATAATGTTTTTTTTATACCAATGCTTTCTTACGTTTTATGTTTTATGAAAGTTATCATTATAGTCCATGGTTGAAATATATTCCCAAGTGATAGCCCCCCAGGATTAAGAGAAATCACAGGAGCAATTTTTTTAAAGAACACGCAAATATTAAATGATTTCCATGATAAACATTATGATGAGAACATTTTATAGAAGGCATTTAAAGGCAAGTATTCTTGATACATTAAAAGTTTTAAAATAGAATAATAATAAAATAAAAAGAAATGATTCAGCCTTCATTTTTCAGGTAACAATAAGGAGTTAAAAAGAATTACAATATAGTATCAAGTATTGGTTTGTCCTGGCAGAGACCCAGAGATTTATATATCGAGGTGATCCAGGTATAATTTCATAAAGTAATCATTTAGTAAAGAGCCGTTTTAGTAATCATTTAGTAAAGAGCAGTTTTATAAATAAAGGCGAAAAGACTTATCTTGGAAAAGGAAGAGGGTTATGTGAAGAAAATAGACTGAGTTCGGTATTTTCTTTCATGTTCGGGCTTTTCTGCAGTATTTTGTTCATGTTGGATCTATTAGTTCGGTAGTTTAAAACTACCAAACTTTCTTCACATATGGTGGGAATGCCCACTTATAGTACCGTTCTGGGAGCAAATAGCTACCATGGTGGCCATGTTCACGGACAATGTCCCACCCTTCCGGCCCGCCCCGTACCTCCTACACCACACGACAACCCCCACATCACGCTACAAACGCTCCCTGACCATCCGAATCCTT